ATATGAGGAATGAGCGGAATGAGTGTCTGCATCATGCCCGCTATGGCCTGCACTTGCTTGGTTAGGCTGAGGAACGCTTCGAACATCACAACCGAGGGTCCTGTGGCAAGTTCGGGGAGCGACAATCCCGCATTGTTGAACAGGCTCCAGTAGTGATCGGGTGTCAAGGCCGGGATCCCCCCCCCCCCCCCCCCAAGGGTGGGGAGGGACTGATCTTCGGGCTCAACGGAGGGGAGCTCGATCAATGGTTCTCCCTTAGGGAGAGCTCCTGTGAGATACTCGTGTGACATGGCCCTCCTTCTAGCACCAAACTATTAGTGAACAAAAGTACTGTGGCTGATGAGTCAGCACGGTTTGGTCCACGGGTCAATGTTGGGAGCCTTCTGTCGCCTGAGTTGGATGACGAGGTGGTCTTGTCTTCGGGATGGGTTGCTTAGTGGCATTTGTGGGCCTCCAAGCCGGTTGGTAGCTCGCCCTTGCGTGCCGAACTTAAATCCCCGGGTTGGGACGATCACGGCTCGGGTGGTCATTTGCCTGCAAAAACGATCCTCATCGGGTGATCCCCGACTTTGGCCCCTCCGACGAGTAAGTCAGTAGAGGATTAAATTGCCTCCCTTTTTTCTCCCCTCCTGGTTGGATGTCGACCAGGGGTTCTTTGAAGAGATTTGGTGCAACTACTAAAGGGAATAAAAGCCTTGAAAAACAAGTGGGTTTTCAGGTTGAAGACTCAAGAATATTATTCCCAACTAAAGTACAAAGCTAGATTGGTTGTGAAAGGCTTTGGTCAAAGGAAATGTATTGACTTTGAAGAGATTTTTTCTCCTATTATTAAAATGTCTTCTATTCGTGTTGCTCTTGGTATTGCTGCTAACCTGGACTTAGAGGTTGAGTAGTTAAATGTGAAGATAGATTTTCTTCATGGTGATTTGGAGGAGGAAATTTATATAGAACAACCAGAAGGCTTCAAAGTTAAAGGTAAAGAAAATTTTATTTGCAAGTTGAGGGAGAGCTTGTATGGGCTGAAGCAAGTTCCAAGATTGTAGTACATAAAGTTTAATTCATTTATGATTGAAAACGGATACAAAAGAACAACTTCAGATCATTGTGTGTGCATCTAACGGTTTGGTGAGGATTTTATTATTCTCTTACTTTATGTTGAAGACATGCTTATCCTTAGAAAGATATGTCTACAATTGACATGTTGAAGAAGAAACTGAGTGAGTTTTTTGCAATGAAGGATATAGGGCCAACAAAGCAAAAACAAGGCATGCAAATTTCCCATGATAGAAAAAATAAGAAGATTTGGTTATCATAGGAGAAATATATCGAGAAGGTATTGAAAATGTTCAGTATGAGCGATACAAAGCCAGTTGGTTCTCCTCTTGCAGGTCACTTCAAGTTGTGCTCAGAACAGAGTCTATCAAGTGATGAGGAGAAGGAGAAAATGCAAAAGGTTCCTTATGCTTCAGTAGTTTGAAGTTTAATATACGCGATAGTATGTACGAGGGCCAGACATCGCATATGCAGTGGGTATTACTAGCAGATTTCTTGCAAATCCAGGCAAAAAGTATTGGGCAACAGTGAAGTAGATCTTTAGATATCTCATAGGGGGTTCTAAAGTTTGCTTAAGCTTTAGAGATGGACCACCCATGCTGATAGGTTACACAAATACAGATATGACAAGAGATATAGATATAAAGAAATCTACATTAGGTTTTGTAATTATTTTTGTAGGAGGAGCTGTGTTATGACAATCTAGATTGTAAAGGTGTATTGCTCTCTCCATCATAGAGGCAGAATATATTGTTATTACAAAGGTTTGCAAAAAAATATTATGGATGAAAAAATCATTACAAGAATCGGGGTTAAAATAAAAAAATTATGTGATGCATTGTGATAGCTAGAGTGTCATCCATTTGTGTAAGAACATAACTTTTCATTCCAAATCAAAGCATATAGATGTCAGATACCATTGATTCGAAATATACTTGAAGAGAAGCAGTTGCAACTTCAGAAAATTCATATAGACGATAATGGAGAAGACATGTTGACAAAGACCTTACTGAAAGAAAGGCAGGAGATGTGTCTACAGTTGCTCGGCATGATTTCACGTTGAGGAGTCATGAGACAGCCTTCCTTACGGGCTGAAGGGGGAGGTTGTTGGGCTAATAGTCCATGAGTTCAGCCCATAGTAGGCTTTAATAGCCCATAGCCCACCTCCCTTTTAATCTAACCCTAGATCTAATGAGGGGGGTGTGGTGGCTGCGAAAAATTAGGGAGAAAAACTATAACAACAAGGCAAAAAACAACAACAGTAACTTGATTTAAAAAAGAGGAGAAAAGGACAAAAAATAAGAGAAAGAAAGGGAAGAAGACAAGGACAACACAAAGAGATTGTTCTCAATCATCCAAGTAGTGCTCTCATCTTAGGTTAGATTAGATCTATAGTAAATTCTTGCTGTGATTACTTAGGGAGATTTTGGATATTGTTCACAGTGATGTAATCCTTGTATCTCAATTATTCTTTAGAGATTGTTGCTTGGGTTTTGAGCAAAAGACTATAAGATTTGTATATTCATTATTCTTATAGTGGATTATCTTTGGTTTGGCCCATGCTTTATACCCTTCACATTGGAGGAGTTTTCCACATAAATCTTGGTGTCCTATTTGATTATAATTTCTATTTAATTCCATTGTGTGT